GTGAAAGACAATAAATTTGCTTTCAACAAAAAAAAAAGAAAAATCCGCTGGTATATCTAACTTCAGTATTTGAATCGCCACACATACAAACCGAAGATTTTGATAACTCTTGAACTATAAAATTTTCGCGTTTCTTCGATAAAAATTAGTATAAGTGAAAAAGGGTTAACTTGAACTACCTGCGCCTGAGTGAAGCACTGTCCCATGCGTGACATCAATTTCGGTACACTTTTTGAAGTCGTAAAATCGCCCATCCATCGTCTGATATCTTCAATCGTATAAACAATTGCACCACGTCTCTTATCATAAACCACCGAGTCCGAATACAAATAACACCCGCCATCACGCATCTGAAGTCACAGAACACTCAGCTCAATCTCAGTTTGTAACAGACTAACCCCCTCCAATTGAAGTTTGCATGGAAACTGTGAAGGACGAAAAGTACTGAGCAGCGATAAAGGAATCAAGATCGGACCTGTGAATTTGACCAAGCAAGAAACTGATAATGTCGTGATGCAATGCGAAGACCCGTTCCAAGCACTCGATAGACAAGATCGGGAATCATCAGCGACTGATCTAAAAATTTTTCACAGCACTCTCCGAATGATCAAAAATGCTGCGGATTTTTCGTTACTGTCCCTCCAACATAACCCTCCTACACAAAAACAGTTCAGCTGACAAACAACGACTTAATGGACCGAAACATTTCTTACCAATTTCCAAAATTATTAATATTTTTTCTTTTTTTCCTTTTCTTCTTTTGTGTTTGTGCATCACTTTCTCTTTTACATCCATAGCTATTAAAAGTGTGACATTTGTTGGCCAGTCCGCCACTGACCCGCTCTTCTCTTTTCTGCTTTTCTCATTAGAAATGTTGGATACAACACACCACGAAATGCATGGTCCTTCAGTAAACCATCCCTCATATCTTTTCATAAAAAGGCTTCTTTACAACCAAAAACAGAATTTAAAAAAAATAAATAGAACAGCAGCTACTACAGTCAAAAAACTCCCCAAATTTATTGTGTAAGTACCCCACTTTTCAATAAATTGAACATTATCTCTCCTGTAAAAAAAGGCTACATTAAGTCCTAAGTATCAAGTAAGAAGTTAAAGACAATGGAAAGCTCTTAAGGCAACGGGAAGGAAAAAAGTTGATGAAGAAGCTACGTGATAAATGGATACTTAAAATAAAAAAAAAAAAGCAAAAAACTGACCCTGCAAAGCACGACCTCGCGTGAATTCCTTTGGTACCAGTCGCTGTCCGTTATCATCTCGGAATACACACCGTAATGCATACTCCTCACCGAAATGGCGCACTACACGATTGGTCATCATCACCTCCGGAGGAAGTAACAGCAAACGTAGCGGTGTTGCCAAAATCTTAAAAAAAAAAAAAACGTTAAAAGTGATGTGGACATATTTTGTGGCCAGATTTGAGAGTAACAATCACCCCAAATGACTGCTCTCCTCGACGACAGTCATGGATCAAACAAATTTAACAGGAAAAAGCCCACTAAACACAATAAGAGTTCTAGGGGTCGCAAGTTGCTGCGTCGACTTCAGGAACTGTTTTAGCATGAAAAAGAAGGCAGTGCAGAATGTAATTTGGCACTATGAAATGAGTGATGAGAAAATGAGAGCTGAAAATAACAGTGGAGGTGCACATAACAAACTGCACAAAGCACCCAAAAGAAAGTTTTTGCAGGTAAGATGCTAATTCGGGAAGCCGAAAAGCAAAAAGACTGGAATTTTGAGGGGATCTTCTCCGTTCATGTAGGACTTAAGCTTTCTTGGTTTCTGAGTTAGCAACTTGCCTGCCAAAAATTTTCACGGG